ATTCCTTTGTCATCTCATTTGGATTCATCCAATCCAAATCACATTCCTCGCTCTTTATATACAAACATAATGGCCATTGCTTAAAGTTTAGAACTAAATTGGCATAAATATTAGAATATCGCATAAAGATTTAGGACAAATTTGGCAAAATTGAAAAGTTTAGAACTAAATTGGCATCCGTGCAATAAGTTTAGGACTGATTAGGTAATTTTCCCGATATAACAATATATATACCGTGTATAAATTACTTTATTTCAATTTTGTTTTTCCTACCACTTATTCAATTGTTTTCTCAATCAAATTCTTATATAACTTGCACTATAACTATTTCGAGGGAAAAGTGTTTAAAAAGTCATAAACCTATTGCATTTGTGTCAATTTAGTTTTAAACCTTTTTTTTTTGCCAATTTAGTCATAAACCTTTTGACATAGTGTCAATTCAGTTCTTCCAACTAATTTTGGCCGGATCATGCTGACATGAAAGCCGGCCGGTCTACGCGGCACCACCAATGTTAACGTGGATAATTTTTAATAATATTTTAATATTGTTCTGATTTTTTTCTTTCTTTTCTTTTTTTCTTTCTTTTTCCTTTGGCTGGTGATCGGCCACAGGTGATGACCGGCCACTGGCTATGGCCGGGCGGACTAGCCTCACCTGGGCAAAGGTCGCCGTCACCGTCACCCTCGCCGGGCTGGGCCTCGCTTGTGGCGGGCGACGGAAACCCTCACCTAAGCGAGGCCAGCCTGCCTAGCCATTGCCTATAGCTGGTGGCCGGTCACGGGTCAAAGGAAGAAGAAAGAAAAAAAGAAAAAAAATAATGAAAAGTCGAAAATATTAAAATATTATTAAAATTATCCACATTAGTGTTGATAGTGCCATGTAGGTCGACCAGGGTTCATGTCAGTAATATCCGGCCAAAATTAACCGGAATAACTAAATTGGCACCGTGTCAAAGGTTTAGGATTAAATTGGCACAAAAAAATGTTTATAACTAAATTGGCTCAAATGCAATAGGTTTAGGACTTTTCTGACATTTTTCCCACTATCTCGATGACTGATGGCAAATGACATGTGGGTTTTTTTTTTGTTGGAAAAATGGCATGTGGGTTTTCACGTACATAAATTTGGTGAAAATGAGATGACTAGAGCTTTCAAATTGTGCCCCGAAATGAGGTGAAAAAAAGTAGGATGATGAGCACAAGAGGACAAAGGACATCGACACATTCAATTCATAATTGAGTGAACCCATGATGTGGTCTAATTCCTAGATGATGTAAGGATCATGTAAGGATGCCAATTTAGAAACAAAAGTGAGATGGTGGACACAACAGAGGTGTTGGATGTGCGATAGCGACTCCAAGGGACTACAAATTCTATGCAAGCCACTGTTGTCAATTTTTTTCTACTCGTAATGATGAATTACTTTTTATTGGTAGGACGGGAAAAGGCGACCGACGCTAGCGACCTTCCTCTGATAAACAAAACCAGCTTCAGTTCAAAGGAAGGGGATGCAAGAGTGAGAGTATTACGTGGTGCACAGCCCGCGTAACCCGTCTTTTACATGATCCGCCTCTATTTTCATCAATATAGGCAGTTATAATTTGAAAATTTGACTAGGTATCCAAATTAACAATGAAGAAACGGCTGTGCAAAAGAAAGATTTACATAGGCTTCTACTTAAAATAAGCTAGAAATATTCATGAGACTTCACTTATTTTGCAGCTGCCTGCACTCTTATTTGCTATGTGCATTGCATATGAGGAATAGATAAACCTAATAATTCAATGTAGCTACCTTTAAACAACATAAACATTAATAGGTCAGTGAGCGAGTGCCTATATTACTATTATTTTGGCTAAATTATAGATGTCGTGGTACTAGAAAAATTGCTTAAAGGTTGTAGTTCATGCTTCGAGGAAAGGCAAGAGAAAATTGGCTCAAAACGTGCTAGGTTGTCAACTTCAAATCCTTAATTATACTCGTGGTCCTACTAAATCTAATGAAGGGATAGGGAATCTGATGATGGAATACCAGCTAGAGTTTTAGTATAGTTTAATTGGCGGTCAATATAAATTCATTATGCGATTAAAGCTAGCTCCTTTGGCTTTTGGCCAAAAATTAACCAAGCTCTTAATTAACTACTTTTGGTAGATTTTAAACTCATTTCTAGAATGTAACTCGAGCTGGCCCGGATGAACAACCTGTTTAACGTCGACTTAGCGGTTCCACCGGTCGAATCTCTGGTCCGCCCATTTCGACGACTAGCCAACATTTGGTTAAAAGTAAAACCGAAATTCTAAATTTTTTTGTATGAAATGCAATAAAGTCCTTATATTTTTAAAAGGTGCAATCGTTTTTCAATTTTCTGAAGTTGCTATATCGAATCCCAATCAAGCCACTAAATTTTATGGAATTTGGATTTTTGGAAATATCAACCATTATTGCGACCGTAATTAGATAGTAAAGTGCGTGGGTTCCGTCGATCCTTGAGCGTGTGGTTTGATCTGGGGTACCAATTGAAAAAAAAAATTCAAATTTTATGTAAAATGAAGTGAAAAACAATTTTAAAGAGGAAACTTAAAACTGACTAATTTCAATTTGAGCCACACAAAGTGTAATTAATCATTCACAGATACTAAAAAGTCAACAGAGTAATTCGACCATGAGTTTAGTTTTGACAAAACAATCAAAATCATATCTATAAAGTTGAGTAGAATACCCTTGCGTGGTGAGCATAGTCCCACGATGTGAAAATGCACGAAAATTGTTTTAGACTTGAGAAAGAGCAGACCAAAACATTTGAATTTTCAAGATGGAGAATATACTCCGTGTTCTAATAACTTAAGTTTTTGGGATATACAATACGTGTGCCGGTCTGGACCGATTGCTTACGTCTCCTTTCACTCGTTGAGTTCCTTTCCCTCGGGCTCTCGCGTTGAGATTGACGCTCGAGAACTTCATCGTCAAATCAGCCTTTGCGCACGTTGCTTCAAGATGAATACAGACATATCTTTCCATGTTCTATGCCAGCGGATCAACACATTCCATCCTTTTTTCTTTTCCTTAAAACAATAAATTCATGGGAGATGGCTCTTCTGCCACTCATCCTAAGAACCAACCATGCATCAGGAAAGTTAATACTTATGTTTCTCATGGGAACCAAAAGAAACAGTGGAAAAAGGAACACAAAAAGCAAAGTTGATCAGATGGATGCTGGAGTCAATAGACAGTTTGATGTCCCATGATCTCGAATGATGCGGTTGCTGTACAAAAGTGCAGCAAAGATGCCTTTGAAATCCATGATTATATTTTTTGCCCTAGAAAGTGTTCCCTACCCACCCCACCCCGAACCGAATCAGGAATACAAATTTGCTTTGCCTTTTTCCCAAGGGGCCATTTTGGCTTTTGCTTGATGATCACACTGTTCTGGGGTGCAAGTCGGGTTTGCATGTGTTTGTCCGTTAGGAGCAAAACCACTTTCGGATCTACACAGGAAAGAAAAACCTAGGATGCTTCGTGTGTACATATAGATACTACGTAGTGCATCGGTTAGGCATCGTATCAGACCGGCCTTATCGAAGTTCTCGGATGCGCTAGCTGCACATGCATCATGTACGCCCGGCATTGTCTCGTGAAGTAAGAAGCTTTAGACACTCTAAGATTGGATGAGATTCGAAATCTAACCCACATTGATGTTGGAATTCCCTGAAATTATCTCTGAAACCATACTCTCCTAGTATCAGAATACCATGGTTTAGGGTTATTTCGGTATTGATCTGGATGTAAAATTGTGTTCGAATGTTAATTGGATCCTACCTAATATATTTTCCGTGCAACGGTGAGTGAAGAAGAGAAGCTACTTGCCAGCGGCGGGGGCAGCGGACGTGGTGATCGTGATGGGTGTCTTTAGGCGACTTCAACATTTTGATCGTCACATTTTCCAATTTTGTTGAGCTATTGCTTGCGTAGCTCTTTGTCTAGTCGGTCGATTGAAGTTACAACTTGGCAGATTGCTGGAATGTAGCTCTCAGCCTTACCACTATGCCATGTGATATTGCACTCCCACATTTACCGCTATACCGTTGATGTCCCATCATCGACTTTCCCTTGGTAACACTTTTCACCATCTAATTTCGAGATACTCACGCCTTGCACCTCGCGATTTTTATAACTGTCCCGACCTTTCTCGAATTATTTTCGATACCAAGAGTTTTGCGAAACTCAAGAGGCAAAATGCAAGATTTTGCAACTACAGGTACGCCAATTGCAAGTTATGGGAAAGTTGGAGGATTCAGTTCTGTAATTTACCTTTTTTCATGGCCACCCAATTTCTTTTTTCTTCTTCCCATGCTAGTTGCTATATCAAGTCGTCGATGATTGGATTGGCTTCCTACAGTCTTACTTGCACGATCGCGTTTCAATTCATTCCAACTGCGAAATCAGATGTTTAATTCAAAAGTGAAGTTGATAAGGTGGAGGTTGGAGTTGATTCAGAGCTAGACGGTTTAATGTGCAAAATTATTGGATATCCGACGCATGAATTTTGATTGACCATTTGGTAGATTCAGTGAAGCATGAACAACTCCTTTTGATCAGCCCTGGCTTAGACAGTCTTATGTCCTGATGCTTAACAACGATAAAAATTCTCATAAGTCATTCATGTCATGTTAACAGAAGCCTACAGTTTGCGGTGTTGAATCTAAAATCTACAACAGAGCTGCAGAAAAATATCAGCGGCAGCACAGGTATGACTGGATTCGTTTTTGTTGGTAAAAATGCACGAAACAAATACCGAAACATGAATTTAGTCTATGGTTATTCCTGGCAGCGCATTGATCAACAAAGAATTGTTCAAGCCAATTGATTCTTGGGCATCTCTACAATAGAACCGAGTTAAATGATCGAACCCTCAGATTGCCCAGATAGAGGAGAAAAGGTAAGAAAACTGTTCTATAAAATGTGACCCCAATTTAACTTCCAACTACAACCTGATGAAGTCTCCTTCTGCAATGTCATTGTTCATCAGGATTGCATTCTTAAATGTACAATGCCACCGCAAAAATGGCTCAAAAGTTCGATCACATCTCGAAATGCTACAATTCGGTGACTACCCTAAATTACTGCTTCTACACAGATTGCCCAGCACATTCACCAGCTAGAAGAATGCAGGTTTCATATAATTAATCACTAATATCAAGGTAACGAATTAGGTGCCGCAGCTACTCGTCCCTAGTAACAGCATCCACATCTAAATACGCAACTAGCATACAAAGAGGGCAAAAAAAGATTGAGCATTTACAATTGACAGATGAAGAATTTCTTCTGCATTCTCGGTGCAAATCTGATCCTAGCTTCCAGAAGATCTAGCACAAACGCTGTCACTTCGCTTCGGCAAGCCGATGCCGTATAGAATCGGGATCTGACATTTTGTTGATGCTGCAAATAAGAAGCTTCTCCGTCAATTGCCAATATATGAATTGAAAGCTCAATGACACTTAGTTGAACGATAAGGACTGGAAACTTTTGCACATGATCAGTTATTAACTAGTTTTGCTCTAAAGGACAATAAGCAAAGCACACCTGAAAAGGCGATCCCCAGTGGAAGCCGCCCTCTCGGAGATCCACTCAGGGACCAGCTCTTTCATCAAATCAAGTTGCTCTTCAACTTCTCCTGTCAAAATGGCACAAAATGAATCTTAAGAACATGTGAACCCTGATGGCAACAATACCCCATGAAGTCGCCAAATAGAAAAGAAAAAGAACCTACTTCTGTCAATCATGTCAAAGCGGCTTTTTATAATCTGATAAATAAGCTCCTCTCTTGTTATCACGGAGCGCTTGGTAGACCTGAACAAGAAATGCATCATGTTGAATAGTTGAGGCAGGGCGGCAAGAATTTCTCGCCTTCGCTTCGCTCGTGAGATGGCTGGATCTTTATCCTCCTTCGCTTTCTTTTCTCTATCTCTTATCTGCAAGAAGCAACAGAATCATCAATCTTTTGTAATTTGCATCGCATACAGATTTTAGTCGTATCTAACACAGATTTTAATCTCATCAAATCAGCAATTTACAAATTACTGCTCTCGATATAAGAATGGTGCATTTGCCACCATGACATGTTCCACTCTATTCGATTTTGGTAGAGTAACACCCAGGAAGTTAATTAGAAGTTTATTAAAGCTGTACCCTTCAATCAAGGCACTGAAATAGCAAAATGGAAGCAATTAGATTCAACTACTAGCTTTATTGGGAGATGCACATAAGAAGAAATAATGTTCTCTCTCCATTACTAACTCAATATCTGACTAATATCATCAACGTATATATCAGGGGAAAGCAAAATAAATAACCTTAAACTGATATGCAGAAGCTAATTGTTAAATCCAAACCACATTGTTAGTAGATATCCCTTTGGGAGAAAGAAAGGATGGGTTTCGACATATAAAACATTACCCAGCGTCTCACCTTTTGCAGAAGATCCTGAGGAAGAATATCAAATATATCATCGTCAGATGGCACTGAGTCATTTTTCCTCGCTTCATTCTCCACCAATGTGTCCTTAACAGGAGTATCAAACTTCAGTGAACGGGTACGAGGTGGACGCCTAACTAACTTATGAGGTGAACTGGCACAATCATCTTCAGGGCTCATGAAACTCCTCTTTGGTGACTGCAATACAGGTGTTGCAGCCATTAGCCTAGCTGGAGTAGAAGCAAGTTTGGCGGGAGTTGATTCGAAACTTGAGATTTTCTGAGAAGAATCATCATTCTTCAACAGGTCAATCACTTTTCTTGGAGTGGCCATATTATTTGAAGGTGGACAAACAACCGGAGCTGCAGAGTCAGCTAAACATTCTTCACTGCTCGTCTGTGAAGCCAATTCATCTTCAGGTGGGTCGGAAGAATCCGTTTCTTCATCATTAGAAACTTCATCCTGGTGTGGCTCCTGAACTGAAAGAGAAGCATGCCCAAGTGAAACTTCAGACATCATCTGGCTAGTGTTCCCCGATGTATTGCTCTCGACCTTCTGGGAGAAGCGTCTCCGAAACGATCCAGACAGATGAGACGCTACCGCTGGTTGCAATCCTACAGGATCTTCTGTTGATGCTTCTGCCGGCAAAGAGGCATTGGACCGCAGTATCTCACTTTGAATTCTATCTTGTCTGTGATTGAAAGGTTCTGGAAGTGGTTCCTCCGGAACTTCATCTCCCTGATTCGAGAAATCATTGTTACGAACACATAGTGACAATCCCATCAAAATAATGAAAAGAACCAGATGCGGAAAGTGTTAAGAACCTCAAGCTGTAAAAAATAGATGAGAGCTAATTCCGTAATTCCAGAGTCCAATATACCGTAAGGCTAAGAGACCAGTTAATATTTCTGATAAAAACATTTGGTTGAATGCTATTAGTACTAGCAACAGGGGGAAACTAATCGTTCAAAAGTGACGATTAAATGCAACTAATATGCGAACTAAAAGAATGCTTCACAGAGCGGATCATCAGTCTATCAAATTAACGCGTGGTACGTAAACTTACAGCATAGTGCAGTGGATATACATAAATGACGCCTCACAAAGTACCTCAGGATGGGAGTTAGCAAATTCTGAAAGCCGGGCACGGAAGAGCTTTCGTAAATTGATCTTGCTATTGTCCAAGCTCGTCTTCCCGTCCTTTTGAATCGTGTCAGCATTCAGACTTATGCTGAGATTCGGCTTCATGCAACTGGTTTGCTCATCAAACGTGAGCACCTTCTTTATCTCAATTGCCTCAGGTAAGATAAACTTCAACTGAGATAGGTGCCTATGAGTGAACCTCCTGAAACCATCAGAAGAGAATCAGGAAAAAACAATTCCAGATCTACTGATTCTCATTAGCCAATAAAGATAAGCATCATCGAGTATCGTGGGAGACAATAAAGACTACGATATCTGATTCGGTTTACTTCAGTTTCTAGTTCGCCATAGCCGAAAAACCAGTAGGGACCCACATTCCGAAAATCCAACTCATCACTTCCATGCTATAATCCCTTCCCTCTTCATAGTTCAAAAAACTAACAAGCTAGGTAATTCGTCAAAGTTTGCGATTCTTTCATTGCGCCTAATGAAATTATGCAACATTCGCACCTTATATAGACAGTAAGGACTGCAAGATGATCGAAATCGAGTTCGATCTAACACATACTACAATCCAGCTTCTGCTTCACCAGCCCAGGAAAATAAATTCCAATTCCACAGAAATCAAATGCGAAATCGGTTCTTCCTCAAAAACATACCTGTCGGTCAAGCACTCGATTTTGGGGCAGATGTTCGTGAACGTCGTCACCGATCCCTTCAATTTCAACAGCCTGACCGAACTATCCAAGCCATCGAAAAACTGCCCCAACACCTCGTACCTAAAACGAATCAAGAACCCTTTTTTTTAGCACAAACCTACAAATCATTCACAACCGAAATTACACGCAGCGAAAAGAAACCCCCGCCTTACTTTTCCGGCAACTTAGCCGGCCCAGCAGCGGATCTCTTCGGCTTCCCAGCTGTAGCCTCGTCGGAGAAGATCTGCTTCCGCGCCGACCCGGCCTCGCGGCCCGCCGGCGGGGTGTCCCGGCTGGACGACGACGACGACGACCCGCGGAGGCTCTCGGCGACCCGCCTCACGTCCCTGATCGAGAGCGCGACGCCGCGGTTCCGGGCCCGGCTCGGGAGGCACGACGGCGGCGGCTTCTTCTCCGGGGTCTTGGAGCTCAGGAGGCCGACGACGTCGGCTGTAGCGGCGGCGCCGCCGTCGCGAGCTCGGGCCTTCCGCGAGGCGGAGCTGAAGGGCTTCTTGGGTCTGGAGGCTATGGAGGAGGCCGAATCCGAAGACTCCATTTCTACGATGAATCGAAGAGGGGAGGAGGAGGAGGAGGAGGAGGTGGACGGAGGATGGTGGCGGATCTGGTGGATGTATATGGTGGGGGCGGAGGAGGCGGAGCTCCGCTAGGGGTTTTTTTTGGCGGGAAGGGTGACGTGGAGGCCGAGGTGGCGGGCGCCACGTCGGATTTCCCGCGAAAGTTGCCCGTTGCGTCCCGCGCTTTTGAGGGGGTCTGTTTGGACACGGGGCTGGTCGTGTCCTTGAGAAGGGGGAGTGTGTTTGGAGGGCCGATTATGTTAGAACCAGAATGGGAGAGAGCGGGTGATATCCCGTGCTTTATATTTTCTTTTGAAAAAGGGAAAATCAAAAAGGAAAAAAAAATGAGTTCAAAATAAATAAAAAAAAAAACTCTCTTAATAAGTATATATATTTGTAGGACTTAGGCATCTTAAACGATTTTGCCTTCATGAATATAGGAGTTCAATGATATAATGTTTCATTTCTCATTGACTTAATGGTCAATGACAGCACACTACGCATATTTCGTAAATTTAATCCATAAATTGGAAGGTAAAGAAACTCGAAAGTTTCTGGTGAACAATAGATGCCGCACTTTTTCTCTAGTGTCTGTTTCCATGCATCGGGTGAAGCAGGGAATTTCGGCAAAGCCAAAGGCAAGCTCTCGCTGCTTTTCTCTTTGAACAGGCTTTTGGTTGTGGCGTTGTACTTGGACGAGCTCTGCTTGGGCTCATACGTCTGGGCATCATGTCTTGCTTGCTTGGTGCTTTTTCAAGTGGCTTGTCCCACTTGAGGATTCACTGGATAATCGGTTCGGTGGTCATCTACCGTGCCAACTACCTTTTTGACACCATTAGCATCGATCTCGAGCAACACTGTACTCCAGACGTCGATCATTCTTCTCCATAAAAGTCGTTGCTGCAGTTATTTAGGGGGGATTCGTCCGGGCGTAGGGGTTTTCGTCCGGGGAAGTCTTCGTGAGAACTAGCTTGTGGTGTTCACCCCTCAAATTTCTCCCATCATGGGGCAATTGGGTTCCGTCGTCGGCGAATTCGACTTGTTGCCGGGTTGGAGCTAACACGGAGACGTGTTGTAGAACTCGCCGCATGAGTTTCGCGACAATTTCACGGTGAAGCCCAAATCGAGTCGAGATGATTAGTAACGGTTGTTGCTATTGTTCTCCATCGCGATACTTGGAGAAAGTAAAGAAAGGAAAAAACTAAAATTTGATAAAACGGTATTATCAAAAGTGTAAGAAAGTGATACATGACTGAAGATTGAGGAATGACGAAACGTGAGAGGGGAAGAGGGCCACTTCACGGGGGGAGTTTTTTGGGCCTAACGAGTTACTGTACAGTTTTCCGGGCCCAAGCCCCGAAATCTAAAATGAGGATAGGCCCATGTGGATAACGGGCTTGGGCCAGGTCCAATCGAGCCAAGGCCGACGCACGACGGATCATGTCTAACACGGCCCTCCGTACCGTGCCCTTTTACTGCAGGGGAAAACAACATAAATGCTTGGGGATCATATTAAATAAATTGAAGTTCATGATCGTGTTGCACATTGTGTTTAAATTCAGCGATTATATTGAGCAAATTAAAAGTTCAAGGATCATATTATATATTAAATCAAAATTAAAAAACTATTTATATCGCTATCCTTTTTTCCGTGAGAGCAAGTGCAAAGATATTCGGCGACCACGTCATTTCAAGGGCATTTCTGTGCTTCCTTCGTTTTTCTTTTTTTTCCCTAGAGTTAAAGTCAATGGAGCAACCATCTGGAACTGAAATCGGAGGCAAACTTTTTTTTTTTTTTTTGGGTCTTTTGTTTTTCTTGCAAAATCTGTCTGTCCGAGGGTTTTGCAAAGGTTTATGTAAAGCTCTGTCCATTGCCAGCGAGATCCTCTGAATCCACCATGAGAAGAGCTTCCGCATGCTTCCTCTCGCTGTGCAGACGCCAAAGCCCCAAACCCATCTCGCCAATCCCTTCCAAGAACTACGTTTCGAATGTCCCCTCCGCTACTTCTTCGCCTTCTTCAATCCTCAAGCCCTGCTCCCAGTCCCACGGGTTTCTCTTCAAACCCTACGAGTTCTTGGCGCCCACGTCGCGAACCCTCGACACCCTCGTCGAGAAACCCGCTCAAATCCCCTCGAGGCAGAGGAAAATCCAAGAAAGGTCGCGGCTTGAGGAGGCCTTCGAGTCCGCGACCACGCTCGACGAGATGCTCGGCGCGTTCAAGAAGATGGAGTCCTCCTTCGACGACAAGGAGCTCGGCCTGGCCTCTCTCAAGATCGGCCTCAAGCTTGATCAGGAGGGCGAGGACCCCAACAAGATTCTGCATTTCGCGGATAGGGCTTTGAAGGGGTTGGATACAGATGGTAAGCCTAGTTTGCTTGCTGCCATGACGTTGCAGTTGATGGGTTCTGCTAGTTACTTGTTGAAGAGGTTTAGTGATGGCTTGGGATATTTGAATAGATCAAATAGGATGTTGGGTAAGCTAGAGGAAGAGGGGTCTAGCGTGGAGGATATTAGACCCGTGCAGCACGCGGTGCTTCTTGAGTTGGCGAACGTGAAGACGGCGATGGGAAGAAGAGAGGAAGCTATTAGGGATCTTAGGAAGTGTCTGGAGATTAAGGAGACGACTTTTGATGAGGATAGTGTGGAGTTGGGTAAAGCAAATCGCGACGTCGCGGAAGCTTATGTTGCTGTTCTGAACTTCAAAGAGGCTCTGCCATTTGGTTTGAAGGCTCTGGAGATACACAAAAATCATCTGGGTAATAATTCGGTGGAGGTTGCGCATGATAGGAGACTTCTTGGCGTGATATATAGCGGGTTGGAGCAGCATGAGAAGGCACTGGAGCAGAATGAGCTTTCGCAGAAGGTTTTGAAGAACTGGGGACTCAGTTCTGATTTGCTCCGTGCCGAGATTGATGCCGCGAATATGCAGATTGCACTGGGAAAGACTGATCAAGCCATTAATACTCTAAGGGATGCTGTCCAAAAGACCGAAAAAGATAGTCAGACTAGGGCTTTGGTGTTTATATCAATGGGGAAAGCACTGTGTGACCAACAGAAGCTTGCAGACGCGAAGAGGTGCTTGGAGATTGCTTGTGGGATTCTTGACAAGAAAGAGGCAGTGTCCCCAATAGAAGTTGCAGAAGCATACTCCGAAATATCTATGCAGTATGAGACCATGAACGAGTTTGAAACGGCAATCTCATTACTGAAGAGAGCTCTCGCTTTGCTGGAGAAACTTCCGCAGGAGCAACATTCTGAGGGAAGTGTTTCTGCAAGGATAGGATGGTTGCTGTTACTGACAGGGCAAGTACAACAGGCAATTCCTTACTTGGAGAGTGCAGCAGAAAGGTTGGAAGGAAGCTTTGGTTCAAACCATTTTGGAGTGGGTTATATTTATAACAATCTGGGAGCCGCATATTTGGAGCTAGATAGACCACAATCTGCCGCACAGATGTTTGCTGTTGCAAAGGACATTATGGATGTCGCGCTTGGTCCACATCATGCAGATTCAATTGAAGCCTGTCAGAACCTTTCAAAAGCATACAGTGCCATGGGAAGGTAATAAAAAACTGCCTAGTTTTTTGTTTCTTTTCTTAATTTGGTGTTTTACTCGACTTGTCAGTTGGTGAAGTTGCTCCAAAAGCAGTAAGATAAGTCTAGAGAAAAACTTGTGGCATTCACATGAGATTGAATAATGTGGCTGCTTGACTGAAACATTAATTAGTGTGGAGCCTGTGTGATGGTGCATCATACACCCACCATGACTTCTTTTTTCTGCATTCATTTTTTAATGAAGCAGCCTCCAACATGAGGGTATCTGAAGACCATCCAGAAGGAATGAATCCCTCTCCCTTTCATTTTTCCCCCTTGCTCATAGGTCTTTATTGCTGGAGGGCTTTGTTCCGAAATCTTTTATATATATATTCACATGCCGCTAGCGCCTGTATGAGATATTGTAGTGTCAGGTTGTACCATGTGGGCGTCAGAGAATTACCTACCTGTAATTTCTTGATCAATTCCATCCAGAGTTCATTCTGGACAGTGGATTGTACGAAGTAGTTTTAGATGTCCTGCCAGGATAAAATCTTTCGAAAAAAAAAAATGGCCGGCTACCCGCAGTTATAGTCCAGGAAAAATGGAGCGAGATTTTTTCTCATTTTCTTTTCTATTCCTTGTTTCGCTGGAGATCAATTTATGGTTAGAACTGCATCTCAGCTAGCCACTGTTTGAGGGGTTAAAAAATTGTTAATTCCAAACAGCTGGCTTTATCCACATTGCTCTTCTGCAGGTTTAAGAGTATTAGTTGTTTTCAACTTTTTGTCCCTTTTTCCCTTCCTATCTCTTGAGTTTAGTTCTTTTATAGAATTCTTTTTAGTGCTAGCATTTTCTATGATATTTTCTTTAATGTCCTAAATCCCCGTGACTTTCAGACCTATTGCTGTGATGTGGCATCTAGATTATGATAACGTATGTTGTTTGGTCTCATCAATAACTTGGCATTCTTTGCATACTCGGAAGCCTTAAAGTAAATTGAGACATAAAATTTGTCACTTACTTGGAAACAATCGTACAGGGTATAATGCTTTACTTTAAACCCTCCAGAGTGACATGTGGGTGTCTATGGGCATTAAATTTTTGTGTACAATAAGAGATACTGTGATACTTGTTACTTCGAGGGCAAAAATAGTTCTTATTCTGAACCTTATCTTGTGCCTTTCCAGTCCATTTGATACTAACAGTTACTAATAATTTGTTTGTTCTGGGTCACTATTTTGTTTCTTCTCTTCTTTTTGTTTTTTTGGGAACATGTTACATGATGTCCCTTGGGTACTCGTTAAGCCTTATTAAATGTGCTTTGAAAATTTAAAATTTATTACTAGAAGTGACTTTATTAAGAAGTATATTTTTTCATTTTCAAGGTGTCTTAGAAATAGTAATTTCCACGTTTAGCTAACTTAACTAGTGTCGTAGGGGTATTTGTTAACCAGACCCTTTTTCTTGTGCTCCTCTGCTTGATAATATTTTTGTATTGTGGTGACATGCACATAGTCGTTGACTTGATTCTCTTTGAGAATTTTCCCCAAATAATCTCGTTTGAATTTAGCTGCTATTTAGGTCTTGAGTGTTTTTTTATAGTGAAATCAATTACTCAATTGGGAAAAAAATTAACTTTGTTGAAATTTCTACTCAACCTTGTAGCAAATTGTGTGGGTTGCAAGTAGCCCAAGCCCGCAAGCCTTTCATGATTCTTTAGATCGGAAAATGTAGGGAATGCATTAATTTTTCTGCTTGTTACATCCCAAGCCAACCAAACTGTGAGATAGCAGAACCTTATGGTTCAACAAGTCATATTTTGGCACCTTTTCTAGTAAAAGATATATCTTACTTGTCAAATAAGAAATTGCTGTATCATGAGTCTATGGAATGGACTTGATCTTGTTTAGATGGTACTTTTTTAATGATACTCTATTATTTCGCCCATCTAATGCTAATTTTTACAAGTTCAATAGCTGATCAAGTAATAAATATGTAATACTGGCTCTATTCAGTTTTGCTTGAACGACCTATTAGCATCTTTACCTAACGTAATTGTTCTCCAGTATTTTATCTGTTAATATGTGAGATACTTGGTGATTGGTGTATAAAGCATGTTTCCTCGGTGATGCAGCTATGCGCTTGCAATTGAGTTTCAGCAGCAAGTCGTTGATGCTTGGGAAAACCATGGAGCAAGTGCAGAAGACGAACTCAGAGAGGCCCGGAGTCATCTGGAACAATTGAAGAAAAAGGCCCGTGGCGCACTGTCAGATGAGCTTAGCAGAAAGGCCTTGCCCTTGCCCCAGGTTGATGCTTCCAGGTCTCAAACAAACTGATCTACTCGATGACCAGGGTCACCTGGCAATTGCTGCTGCATTCAGCTTATCTTCATCATATAGTGCACGGTTACAGGGCGTCTTGCTCAAACAGTAAGCACTGGGTCTTCTATAGTTCCTTGGCAGAGTTTGTTTCTTGCACAGCTGCTCATGTAATTAGCCGAGGCATGCAGCAAGGCAAGTGGCGAAGTCTTTTAGTTCTTGCCGGGTCTCGAACTCTACAATTTCAAAAGCAATTCTGTATGCTTAAAAGCAAGATCAAGTTTTCTTGAGTTGTTAATCTTTTCTGCCCAACTGCGTATTTAATTCATTAATGAGTATGAAAAATTGAGAAATAGAAGTCAGGGGCACAACGTTCTTCCTCCAATGTTGGATTGTATGTTACTGTCTCGTTATGATTAAGGTTAAAGATACAGCAATACTTGGATCTGCTGGAACATACAAGGCTAGTTTGGAAGACTGGAAACTTTTGTTCTTTAACGCCTTTATTAATGACATGCTGAACAGGTGCTGCTCTTTCCACGGTTGCCCTTGATTGCTTTTAATCAATTTGCATGTCGTGCTTTTCGCACGCTAGTCATTTTAGTAGTTGTCCTGTGGCTACTTGCTAAAGTAAACTTGATAGGCATTGACTACGCATTAAAAAGAAAGTCAGTGCTTGGAACGTTAAAATTTGCCTTAGGTCATTCTAGCGGGTGCCCCAGCGCATTCAAATGCTACATTCGTGTTGGCTATCCACTATAAATTTTGATTCTTTTTTCGCCCTTATGCTAGTTTACTAATGGGCTCTAACTGGTGAACTCTTTCAGTAAAGACAATAGCTCATGCAACGTTCTGGAGAAGAGTGCATGACTGTAATAAGTCCCTATTTCCAGGAGGTCATGCTTTTTTTAGAGGGTAAAATAAGAGGGTTCATGAAACTTCCGACGCATATATTTTTCTGTGAAAGAGTGGAAAGAGGTTGAGTTGTCGAATGGTCCCGGACCAGAATGATACTCTCTCAATGGCATCAATGCAACTGGTCGAAGACAAAAAGAAGTTTGCACTCATTTTCAAGGATGATGATTCTTAATGTTGTCACTTTATGTTTTACCCATTGCTTGGCTAATGACTGTTTGTTTTCTAGTCTGCCGTACCTTTCTCCTCAAGATGTGAACCGAATGAAATTCAAAGCAAGCCATTTTTCTCATTCATAATGCATATGCAGTAGATTTATAGCTGTAATTCAGTTCCATCACTTCCGAAAAAAATATAAAGGAAAAATCCTCGTCCAGCCCCAAAGAGGCCATTCATCTTCATCAAACCGAAATTCACCCGTGCATTCATTGGACTTGATCGACCTATGTAAAGCATTCACTTAGGGTTCGTATGTCTAGCTTCGACACAAGGTGCGATGCACACAAACACCGAAGGAAAAGAGTCATCTTCGAAATATGCTACTGCATTCTTCCTTCGCATTTTCCTCACGACGGCCTTTATTGATGATAGTCGCCTGGATGGCCAAGAAAAGATTTCTATCTTTCGCGGAGTCTAGTGAGAAAGATCTCCTGATGGGTTGGACGATCAAGTGGTCTTGATCTCTTACATTGATGTCTTCGTCCGCCTTGATTGAACCACGGTGGCACTTCTTCTTGAAGCTGCCAAGTTCCACTTCCAACTTCCTTTGATTGTGCTGAGATTGCACCGGCATCAATCCACTCCTCTCTTGCCTTTCAGATGACACTACTTCATCACTCCTCAGTTCGATTACCACGTAATCTTCTTCGTCTCCCATGTCGGAATACAATTGCGAACCCTGAGGAGAAGAGCTCGGTGCCATGAGGTGGTCGTTAGGACACTGAGCCGTGCCTGAAATGCTCGTCCTGCAGAGCGGACATCTAGAATTGCTCTGGAGCCACATGTCGATACAATCGGAATGGAAAGCATGGCTGCAAGTGGGGAGAACTCTGAGCAGATCCTGTTCCTGGAACTCGTTCAAACAAACTGTGCAGCCGCAGAAGCTTCTCCGCCTTGCTTCTACACTTCGAAATGGAAAAGCCGGGATCTCTCGAATTATTGTACGATCAAGTCCTGCTTGATTCCATGTTGTTGGGGAGAGGGCGATGAACGAGTCTTCATCTTCTTCTTGTTGATGCCTTAGGAGAGAGAAGCGTCTTATGAGACGGAGTTGGCGCTGGCTCGGGCAGTATTTGATGAGGACGAAGCAGTAGCTGACCAGCAGAAAAGCCGCAGCGGCAATGCTCAGAGCTGCAATGGTTAGAATGTGCAGAAAAGAGGCAGAACTGGGGACTTGTGACTGGTTTTCCTGGGAAGTGATTGAAGGAGCAGGTTGAGATTCAAGGTGGAAAGAGAGCTTGATCAATACATCTTCCATTTCAGAAGAGACTCAAAATGCGAAGAAACCTGGATTCAGAAAGGGCCTGACTTCGCAGCACGGTTACTGACTGGTCGAGAGAGCGAGAGAGGGAGGGAGAGCGACACAGAGAACTGATGCAATTTTTTTCCAGTTGACAATGCTTAGCCATGGAGGGTGGAACTTGGGGCCATTGGGAAATAAAGGTTGATAACTGTGGAAGTGCTTAAGTTACATAATTGTGGACAAGGCATGCAGAGAGCTTGAAGTTTAAGCATTACTGAATTTCTACCAAAAGTGCGCTCCTGGAATGATTATGCGGTTAGCACATAGGGAGACCACTTGTCCCTGGTCATTCATAGAAATTGAAAATTTCTTCTTTTTATATGGTTTTCCTCATTCCAGTTGTTTATCTGTGTTTTATAATTCTTCCCCTAGTATTTGATGAATGCAGAAGAATAATTATTAAGCAAGAAAAGTGATTTACAGAAAGAATTAGCTTCATCATGTGTAATCAGTAGCACACACCCCTGTAGATTCAGGAAAAGAGAGACTTGTACTGCTAAAAGAACAGGGAAAATTGAAATGGAAAAAGAAAATAAGCCTTTCAACATCAAAATTAACCCAAAACTAGACTTCATTCTTTTCTTGAACTTCCGGGGACTGCGGCCTAGGCGGTTCACTGCACGTGACACTGCGGTTCTTGGACCTTCTCCGTGATTCCCGAGTTCATCTCTTCTTGCTCTGTGCATCACAAAGCTTCCGCTGGAAACCTACGAGTTTGCCAACCGCGAGCCTTGCACTGACTGAGCTCAACCAGTAGCAGCTGCCTGTGGATCATGTATCTTGACCATCTTATAGGAAGTCGATCATCTTCCCCAAGCGTTGTGCATTTACTTGACGAATTAAATGGACCGCAAAATTTGTTGACGATTAATCTTTACTGCAGTAGAATTAGACTACTTTTGGCACCATCCCCATTATCAGTATATCCAACCCCGCTCTTGAAGGATCGAAAGTGTTTGTCGATGACGTTGAAGTATACGTGAATTCGAGGGCCTGCGAGCTGTTTAAGAAACTACATTTTACTCCCTGAATTTTGGCCTTTGATTCCATTGTGCCAACCGAGTAGATTGACATCTTTGCTTAGCTATACATCCTATATAATTGCACTTTGCATCCTGTTTACCCACTGAATTTTCAAATGTTATCTAGATCTAAAAATTTATGAAAGAAATATCGCGAATTTATATGTCATATTTCAGTGTTGTGAAAATTTCAGGAGTTTCGAATTTAAAAAAGAAATCAAAGTCCGTAAATTGCATGATTTAAATTATGTAAGAAGTAACGAATAAAAGTCGATCCACACTTACCATCTTTTCCCATCTTTTTTACAAGTTATGGTGGCGCTTTTTGTTAACTTGGGTGCACTACAAAAGTCAATGTACAGTGTGGGCTCATTATGCATAGAAAATGGAAGTATGATTTCTAGGGCGCATGACATGAGTGGGCAATTCCCACCAATCCTGTTTTTAATCTTTTGCTTTTACTTCGAATTCTGAGTTACTACTTTACGTTGAGTATCTCAAATCTTTGGAGAAGAAATGTGCAGTCCTGGGCCTGAGGCCCGATGCATGAGGCCTTGATTTCAAGGGTCAAGATCTTGGGTCCAGGGCTAAGGTCCCAAGGTCAAGCTCATGGGGTCGGGTCGGGGTGTCGAGGGTGCGGTTCCTGGGGCATGGGCGCCAGGGTCTCGAGTATGGGGTTGAGGTCGCGGTTTTGAGGGACGAGTCCAAGGTACGAGTCTTTGGGGGTATCAAGTCGGGACATTGAGGATCCGGTAGGGGCACCGGGCTGCTGAGGCCCAAGGTCGGACGTCAAGGTTACGAGCCCATAAGATGAGATTCCAGGTCCGAATCGCGGGTCCCGAGTATGAGCTTGGAGACTTTAGTCAGTGGCGTCGAGCTCGTACATCGAAATCAATCCTTATCACTTTTAGAGTGTTTGGTGAATAAAAATCTGAAAACGATATCTGTTTTATTTTGAGGAACCGATCGGATTTCGAAAGATCCCGCCGTGCCAATTTATAAATTCGTTCGAAAGAAATTTCAATATCGCGAGACGAAGGAGACCCTTGGAAACATAATCGTTGCCTCGAAAATTGATGGAAAGCAAAGAGATCCGACTCGGATAGAGCGTCACGGTCAAGGCCGGTTGCTGTCACAGTTGTGCAGACTAATCGCAACATCCCATTCAAACCGAATTAACAACTCCCTCTCTCTCTCTCTCTCTTACACACGAACAAGAAGAAGAAAGAAACATGGGTTTGGACCGTCAATCTTGCCGCAGAAACGACAACCTCAGCAGCCTCGAACTGCTCCCCTTTTGGCGCAGCTTCCAAGAAAGAGGGGGCGAGATTGCGAAATCATTATTTTACTCGTCAATAATTGGTGTCAGGTAGCGACTGTTTTGCCCGTCTCATCAATCTAGGGAATAGTCTTCAAAGCACGGTTACAATACGACAATCCAGAGATTTTCTTCGCAGCTTCCTAGGCCATGGAAAGTCCAACCTGCTTACCAAACGGAGTTCCCCTCTTTTATCTTCTCTTTGTGGATTCCATAGTATAAGTTTGACAAGTAAAAGAGCCTCTGTTGGATCGCCCCACATGGTTTGAAGGGCATTTCAGCTTTATTTGGTTAAAGGGGTTTCCTTTTGTTATTATTAATTTTTTTTCCGGATTGGCCAAAACTAAGCTATTAGAGGTTGACTAGGGTAAAAGTGTTCGGGGGATTTTGGTGGCTTCTTCCCGTGCTGGCGAGGGCGCGATTCGGGATGCGAATCGGTGCACCGCACGTATGATCCTTCATTGACATGAGAAACGTGGACTTGACTTGCTAATTGTCAAGGATTTTGAGCAACCGATGCGTCGGATCAAGGTGCTGTGCACGTGCTGAAATAACTCAAATGAAGCTATTCAAAAGTTTTT